TGTCTAATCCTTCCAGATAAAACTATTTTTTAATAATCAAGCCACGTTAGGATGAAATATCAAATTTTTGTAAATTGAAAAAAAGGGTTCAATTGAATTACAGATTTCAAGTTTAATGTCTTTAAAAAAGTTCACCTTTTTCAGATATTCCTGGTGTGGAATGCCACAATTAATTTCAAGTTTATAGAACTTCAATCTTTTTGTTAACTACCCTAGAAACCAGCGACGTCACGCGACCAGTCCCATTAGGTCGAGATAGGTCAGGTTAGGTCAGGTTACGTCAGATTACCAAATTGGTCACAATATGACCAGTCCCCTTGGTCCTGTTAGGTTAGGTTAGGTCGGGTTACATCATATTACCAAACTGGTCGAAACATGACCAGTCCCAAGGCCGTGTTTGGTCAGGTTAGGTTGGGTTAGGTCGAGTTACCTAACTGGTCTCATACTGGTCTTAACCTGACCAATCCACTTAGGTAAGATTTGGTCGAGATTGGTTGAGTAGTAAGGGTAACAACAACAGAAGGACAGTTATGGTGTGAATGTAATACCAGGGGGGGAGGGTTAAAGTGTAGCAGTACTAATAGAATAAATTAGGCTCTGCTCAATGGTTAATAAATAAATGACTTGTTTAATCATTTGGACGTCAAAACTTTGGTCATTTGGACGTCAAAAGTTTGGTCATTTGGACGTCCAAAGTGACGTCATTTCGACTTCGAAAGTTTGGTTGTGAGGACGTAAGAATCCTTGAATTAAACGTCCTCAACAAGTCCACAACACCTAAAATATGACATCGCACTGGTAATTATTGACGTCCCCATGACGGCCTTAGGATGTCCTCTGGTTTCTAGGGTTTGAGATATCACGGGAAGAACTTCATGTTTCATTTTTAACAGAGTTGCAAAATCACAACACTTGGTGTCTCTGCTCATCCTTTAGAAACTAAAAGTTTATTGTAGTAAAATGAAATATTTCAACTGACATAAATTTTTCCGATTATAACAAGCATGAGCAGAGTATAGAAAAGTTTCACATTGAATTTTGTATTGTATTTCTTAACAACCCCTTTTTGGAATATCAATATTTCAGATATATACAGGAAGGAGAATTATTATAATTATGAACACATTAACATAATTGAACATTATTTAGACTTGAAATATCACTTTGTGATAAGAAAAGTTTAAGGTTTACATGTTCAAGATGTTTAATGTAAAAGATATAAACTAAAATGTTTAGTTTCCAAACATTTTGTAATAATTATATTCTTTTACACAATATATTTTATAATTTATTTATATATCAGAAATCAATTATGTATCCCCTCCCTTTCTGGGGGTTTTTAAAAATGTAATTTAATTAGATGGGAGAAAAATAATTTTCCCATGTAAAAATCCGGTGTTCATCTCGTGAAATAAACTCAGGTTTTCACAGTGTAAAAACTCGGTCCTAGACCTGTGATCAAATCGTCGACAATCACCTCGACAACACATGAATTATCACGGGATAATGACGTGTCACTCGTGTGAATTACACCAAATAATCTTGTGTTCTTCACGGGTTTTTGTTTGTTGGGAATCCTTGCGTTAAACGTCCTCAATACGTCCTCAACACCTAAAATATGACGTCGCCTGATGTCGCTCTGGTAATTATTGACGTCCCCATGACGACCTTAGGACGTCCTCTGGTTTCTAGGGTATGGTAACACCATAGAATTTTTCTGGGTGGTTCCATGGGGAAAATTATAGGCAGAGGTATTATAGCCCAATATTTTGCTATTTATTTTATATCACGAAGGTTAGCCATTTTGGAGGCAGAAGAGATTTAAGTTTTACCTAAATAAAGTTTGACATCAAATTCTTCTGGGTTTGAAGATTCCAACGTATGATATAAACATTGCAATACCAGTATCATCCAAATTGTATGCCCTAACGTGGCCAGATTCTTAAAAATAGTTTTTTCTTCAAGAATTGGAAAATTTTTTGACACAAAATAATCCAAGGACGAGGATTCCGAGGTGGCTCGGACGAGAAAATGAGGGGAATGTGGCTCGGACGATAAATTGTTGTGGCTGGCCTTCCTCCCCTCCCTCAGCTGTGAAAGCAAGTTGCGCCTGCGCCCGGGCGCCGCGCTCACTTCATTAAGTAGAGTGTAGACTAACTATTAACTAAGAGTCTGAGCTGAGACAGTACACTTATTACACACACTGAGTGCTTCCCTGGAACATATTATTATCTTAATTCTAATGCTATATTTCAAAGTTATTTTTTTTAATTCGTTGTTGTAATAAGTCTGAAATGGAATCATTGTTCAGTGCCATATACACCATTTTTTTTGAAAATCGTGGTTTATGTCTACTTTCTCTGGGGCCGGGTTTAATTTTTAACATTTGATATTTTTGAACTGTAATTATTAAAAACTATTTGATAACACATTTCGCTTTTTAAAAAATATGTTTCAAAGTGCAGTCAGCGCACATTGCCTTTTTTGAGAAAGGTTTCATTTTGAGTAAGATTTGATACGAATTGAAACGTATCCATGCTAACATAAAAAGTCTCAACATCTAAAGTCTAGAATTATTTATCCGACATCAATTCGCCATCAGAACTATAAGTCAGTTTAAATGTTTCCTGGGATATTGAAGGTGATGAAATGTCATCTTGGGTATATTCATAGAGAACGATTTTTGGACCCCATTTCTGGGCCGAGCGCTGCGGCTAGTACAGGCTAGTTGGCCGAGCGCTGCGGCCACGGGTTAGGTTAGTTAAGACACTTTCTGGGGAGAGCGCTGCGGCTAGGACAGGCTAGGGGGCCGCACATGGTCAATTATATCCATGTCTAACATATAAGATCCATGTACAAAATTGATAGGAGGGGGTCCAAAAATCGTTCTCTAGGAAATTACCTTTTTATGTTTTGTAATTTCAGAGTGACGGATTCCAGAATGGAGGCAATTGAAATGGAGGCTCTGGAGTTGGAAGATAAAGTAGAAGAAGAAGAATATGAAAGTGAAGAAGAATTTGAAGAAGGTTTTCACTCTTTTTATTCTAAAATAAGTTTAAAACTTGAATTATCTTCGTTTAAAATCAGCAGTTTGTTCTCACTTGAGATATGTTTTGGGATATCTATTTAAACCCCAAAGTATTTAATGAATCTCAAAACGGTTGAATTATTTTAATGTTTAGTCCATAAATCTAATTGAATTGTTATATAATGTTATAAATATTTCTGTAAAATTGAAATATAATAAAAATATTATATTTTTAGATGTCACTGAGATAAAATGTTGTGTAATGTGCATATTTACGATTCAAGATATTGTAAAGAGAAAGAGGGAACGTAAGAAATATCGTCTGCTAAGTACCTTATCACTAATCTCCAGCAACCTTGCTCGGAACACTCAAAGACTCTCCTAGGAACTTGAGAATATACAAAGACATATAGACTATAGAGCCCCAAATACCTCAACCAACTGGTGCGAGATTCCGATTCTATCCTATTCCTCCTGAATTGCTTGCTGAGAAACCCAGTTCAGCTGCAAGCACACCTGGGGAAGCTATTATTGAAGCACAAACACCAGGAGTGCAAGGAATTCCTTCTCAAATACAAGACGATGTTGAGGAAAAAGAGATCAAAATTAGCCCAGTGCAAATACTAGAAGTACAAGGAATTCCATCTGAAAGTCAAGAAGATGTTAAAGATGTAGAGGTGAAACTTACCCCAGTGCAAATACCAGGATTGCGTGAAAGCTCTGCACTAATGCCAAGAGATGCTGAGCCTGTGGTACAAGTACATCAACCAGTAAACTCTGTAAATGATGCTGGCCTTTCTTATGTTGAACAATCAAGTCATGTATCTATAAAGGCAGGTCAACTGTCTGCTGATGATCCCGACTTGGTAGCAAATGCTTCTGGAAAACCTATTGTCGCAGCACAAATACTAGCAAATCCTGCACAAATACCAGAAAATCCTGCACAAATACCAGAAAATCCTGCACAAATACCAGAAAATCCTGTACAAATTCAAGATCTACCATCGCAGATGTTTGAACAGTCATACTACCAAGATGTCATGAGCCGTTCTTCTGGCAGGGTTGTCCCTTACAACAGGACCTGGAGTAGGCTCAATAACACGCGCATACACAGGAATTTAACCAAGGGGGGCCAGACCAAGAAAAACTAGGATATGCACATTTTTTTCCAGGGGGGGGGTTCTCTTAGATGATGGCAAGCTAATTTTTTACAATCCACTCCTGATTTAAATCTTGTCCAAAAATCCCAGTGAAGGCAGCCCCCTGGCTCTACCCTGGGGGAAAGGAAGACTGCCCCCCCCCCCTCTCCTGTGTACGCTACTGCCTATTAGATCTGACAATTGTAGTAGTCTTCTATTTAAGCATGTGTGAAAATACTCAGAGCCACTAGATTCCCTGAATTTTATCAAAGTTTGGTTGGATTATTGTTTATTTGTCTTTATTGAAAAAAAACTTTAAAAAAGGGGATGGTGGAGTTGGCACATTTGATGTAGGGGGGGGGGGGGCCCTGCCTTCATTTTTGGTTCAAATCTTCCAATTTTTTGGGTGCACGCCTAATTAGTGATCGAAATTCCTAAAATAAAATCAAATTGAATTTTAATGACCTCTAATGACCTCTAATGACCTCTAATGACCTCCAGAAATAGAAAATATTTCAACTATGGCTTTATGCACATCAAACGAAAGCTAGGGACCCAGGGAATACAGTAGCAGCAAAAAATCCAGTGTTTGACCTTCTAATGACCTCTTACGACCTCTAATGACCTAAATGACCTCCAAAAATGAAAATGTTTTAANAATTTGATTTTATTTTATGAATTTCGATCACTAATTAGGCGTGCACCCAAAAAATTGGAAGATTTGAACCAAAAATGAAGGCAGGGCCCCCCCCCCTACATCAAATGTGCCAACTCCACCATCCCCTTTACTAAAAATCGAGAAAAAAATTTTAAAGAAAATTAAAAGTACAAATCTATGCAAAGAAAAAATTTGTTGTAAAAGAAAAATTAATGTTAAATTTTGTCAGAAGCTTTATGAAGTTTATGTAAAGTAAAGTTTTTAAAATCCGAATATTTTCATAAATATGCGGGTAACGTATGGTTTGCTTGAAATAAAAATTTCTCACAATCAAAAAATGTCAACTCAGAATTAAGATTTTAAACATTATTTAATCTTCATTTATATTAGTTAAATTTACATTCAATTTATTTTATATTCTTTTCATTTCAGATGAGTCAATAGCATGAACTGATTGAGTTCGCCAGAATGGAGACATACAGGAAGAAGGCCATTAGACTCGAGTCTGTAAAGTGGGGAGAAATTTTCCAGTTTCTTAAAACTTCAGGATCCCATGTCTTAGGTTCGTATATTAATCTATCTATTGTATTAGTTGGCATAATTTACTACTTCTTCAAATAACTATTTTAATCAAGTCATACTTATATTTGCTGAATAGCTTAGGTGTTAATTGTTTACATTCCAGATCAGTGGTTTATATAATTCTCAAGGGGGGGGGGGAGAAATCAAAGACTCGAGAAGAATGGCAAGGGTGTATACTGAGGGGAAGTGCCTCCCCCCTAGACCTGTGAACTAAGAGCTATCACACTTTCAAATCTTAAACTGAAGAGTGAACATCAAAAATTATAGTTTTCTGTTCAGAGTTCAGGGTTTTAGAGATAAATTAGAATTTGCAAGCTAATTGGTTTGTTGAAGCTCGCTTTGCACATATTTGCCCTCCCATAGATCTATTTCTGTTTACGCCCTTGAATAGGGGAAAGAAGGAAGGAATGGGAAAAGAAAAGATAAAGGGGTAGGGTAGGGAAGGGGAAAGGTTCACGGCATTAGATTTAAGATTTAGCTAATATCCCGCTAATTGGTCTTTATGTCATTATGTTGAGTGGGGAAAGTTCTTAAACATTCTACTTAAAATTTTTTTCTCTGGATTTCCTTTTCAAAACTAAAGCATTAGAAGGATTCATTAAAAAGGTTCAGCTCTTATTATTTGAAGTACAGGGTGAGTAACAAAACGGGATTAGCGATGTTTTGGACAAAATGTTCAACATTTTTGTTTAGTTCAGATTTTAGGTATAAAAAATTGATTAAGAATAACTCAAAAATCAAAAATGAAAAATTGAAATTTTCTGAAAATATTTTGGAAAATGTTTATTCTATTGTTTTTCAAAATTTCATAAACATTCATCAAAAATTAAATGAAATATAACAAAAAATGAGAGCCAATTATTAGCATTTTTGAAGTCATATAATTTTATAACAGTTACTGCAGATTTTCACTATAAAGTTTTGCGAACTTTTTGATATATCATTCAATTTTTAATTATTTCTTATGAAATTTGTTGAAAACAATAGAATATACATTTTCCCAACAATATTTTTTAAAAATTTAATTTTTTTTTTCATAAAGAATGTGGTTTTTTGGATTTTTTTTCAATATTTTCTTTCTTCTTTTAAAAAAAAAATTGTGCCGCAAAGACAAAAAATAATGGATTTTTTTTTACATACGGAAAATCGACAATTTTTTCTGCGGTGTTGCTCAGTCAAATGTTTTGTGAATTAGACATGCAACTCTTTAAACTGAATTTTTGTTTACATTTCCTTTAAAAAGATTAAAAAGCATTAAAATTTGGAAAATGTTTTAAATTTTTGGTTTTAGATAATCTAAAATTGAAGAAAAACTATTTTTTAGATGATATTATGTTGATGTTTTCTGAGATGTCAACTTGAGGAACCTCGTAGGGAAATTGAGAAAAGCCTGAAGGAAATTGAGAAAACTGAATAGGAAATTGAGAAAAATCGAAGGGAAATTGAGAAAATTTTCAGTGAAGTTGACAAAATGAAAAAGAGACTGAAACTTGAAAGCCAGCTTACCAAAAAAAGTAGCTCTAGGGCATTGAGGCTCTCAAAGAAACCAGAAAAGCGCTTGGAGGAAGTAAGTAATTTTTTCTCTAATTAAATTTCAGCGAAAATAAATCTTTAATTTTCAGGGTTTACCCTCTCTTGTATCAGTTGATTCGGTTGGTCCTGCAAGGATGTCACCGTCATTTGGAAAATAATTTTTAACTTTTATTTTTGACATGATTGAAGCAAATTTTAACTAACCGTGGTAAGTGCCTCAAGAACCAATAACAGGTCAACGACGTTTTTTTCACCACTAACAGCCAACAAAATTACTTAATCAATTTTTACTTATTCATTAACTGTCAGCTTTTTATGCAGAGGACCCACTCAAAAAAATTAAAAATTAAATGAATTTTTAGTGATGATCGGTGCTCTTTTGCTGGTGTCAGCTTTACCTTCAGCAAGTGCTGAAGACTTTGATGGTCGTGTACCCGGCAATGCTGACTTGGATATGGGTAATCCTATACCTATACCAGTAAACCCTGTTGATAGCATTGCCGTCCTACCTGAGCTTGAACCATCTAGTGATGTACCGGTACAAGCTGTTGATCAATTGCCTGCTGAAGATCCCACTTTAGCTGCAAGTACTCCGGGGGACCCTATTCTTGCATCACAATTGTCAGGAAATCCTGCAGAAATGCAAGGCAACATTACTGAGGTTTGGTCTATAGCAGAATCAGAAAATAATACACAAGATCATTCATCTCAGAACTTTGAACAAGCATTTGATGAGGGTGTCATGAGCTCTTTTTCTGAAATGGCTGCCCCTCGAGATTTTGTTAGGGCCTGGTCTATAGAAGAGTAGGCTCATTAGAGTCCGACTAGGCGGAGTCTTCCTTCCATGCAGCAGCTAAATTCAGTTATGTGCGCATGCCGCAATGAATTATATAAGACAGAGAGAGTCAGTTCTAGCCGTGGCATGTCCTAGCTGCAGCGCGCAGCCCAGAAAGTGTCTTAACCTAACCTAACCCTAATATATATACTAATCTCTTTTGTAATTCAACGCAGCAAGTGCATTTAAACTGACTTTGGCCGCTATCCTATTTTTATTAATATCTATGGATCAAGATTTATGACTCTAGATCGCTAGTCATTGCAAAAAGCTTTGCGAGCTTCAAAAATCCGTACAAAAATTCTTATTCTAAATGAAGTTGTCTAATGTTTCCGCAAGTCTACTGGTAAAACCAGACCCACAGGGAAACTGACGTTTAATTTTGGTCTCAATGGTAGCTTAGTCTAAAAGACCAATTTTTTTTTCAAATGATTTAAATCGCGGTCTCTTAGCCATGGTTTAAATTCGCATTAAATGGTTCATCTTAGACCCAACTTATTTATAAGTTGGCGACAGCTTGCGTCATACATAGTCAAAATTGTAAGGTGCTACTATTTATTTTTTCTACCAATTCCGCCCAATACATTCCCAAATGTTGATTGATTGATGTAAAGGGCAGAAATTAACCATGTTGTTATTGTAAACAATTGGAAGTATGATGTCAAGATTTAGAAAAATTCCACACAGTTCTTGAGTGTAGTGCACACTACAATACACGAAAAACTTGTCAATGGCCACAATGTCACAGAATGTGTATTTTTTCCCCTCTAAATGTACTTTCAACTCTAATTTCATTGGGGATCAAAACTGGAATTATATGAACCACTCACGGTGCGCCTGAACAAAATCAAGACTTGAATTTCCTCACAAAAAAGGTTTGTGGGGTTCAAAAATGTAAGTAAAATCATTGAGAAAATTGATTATCCTAACTTTTTTCATCAAGATCTTTTTGAGAAAACTCATGTTATATGGATCTTATAGTATACATTCCAATTGCTTTAGTTTGTTCCTTTTTTTTAAAACCATTTTCAAGGCCAGTTAGAACATTATGTTACCTAAAAAAATTGAAAGAAAATTAAATTTTGCGCCAAAAAGTATATTCACACTTTCATGTATCTGGTTTATGTCCAAAGATATTCATCAAAGTTTAAGGTTAAGGGGGGTGGATTGGGTAGGATATTATAAAACAATGGAATTGAGTTTTTGCCACGAACTCTTATTTTCTAATCCCAATATCTTTGCAACAATATGCTGTAAACCTTTGATATATCAAACTATGGATTCTGTTTGATCAAATAATCATAGTTTACATCAAAGGTTTACTTTAGAGGAGAGATATAGGGATTAGACTATTTGTAACTTAATATAAATTTTAATTATGATTATCTTTGGACATAAACAAGATACATTAAAGTGTGACTATACTTTTGGGCGCAAAATTGAATTTTCTTTCAATTTTTTTAGGTAACACAATGTACTAACTGGCCTTAAAAACGGCTAAAATAAGGAAAAATTAAAGCATTTGGAGTTCATACAAGTAGATCCATATAACATGAGTTTTCTCAAAAAGATCTTGATGAAAAAAGTTAGGATAATCATTTTCACAATGATTTTACTTATATTTTCAAACCCCAACAACTTTTTTTTCTCAGGCATTTCAGAAGTCTTGATTTTGTTCAGGAGCACTGTGCACTAGTTATTTTTAATTCACATTTATTTTTTTTAAATCTAGACATCACCAACCCCACACATCCTTGGACTGTAGATGATAATATTATTATCGAAATATATTTCCTGAACTGACAGTCCAAGTTTGGTTGATATTGCTCTATACCTGTTATAACTTTTTATATTTTCAGAGACGTACATATGTTCAATGTTTATCTAAAACAGTAATCTAAAAGGTATATTTACATTTTTTAATTAATTTCTTTCGCTAATTTAAATATTTTCATGAAAAGGGATATATTTAGGCAAGTAAAAGATTAGTTTTATAATGCTGGTTATTCCATATTTCATTTTGACATATTTGTAATTACATAGATTATTTGAACGTGAAATTCAAAAAAGGGGAAATTTAATTCCATTTCCAGTATTATTGCTTTTAGCTTTATCAACCTTTTTTATACTTTTTAATAACAATATATTATTATCCTTGTTTAAATATTTGTATAATTTTAGAGGTCAGGATGCCTAAAAGCGTGAGTAGAGATGTAAGTTAATTACCCATTACATATTTACAGAAAATATTTTGTTTAATATTTAAATCTTTTATTTTTATGAACTTTTCTCAGAATATTTATTTCATTAGAAGAATGAGACACAACCTAGGATAATCCATTCCTTTTAGGGAAGTTTTGAAAATGATATTTGAATTGGTTGCTAGCTATGATAAGTCGGGAGCTGCTGCCCATAGCGTAGAATAGTATGGTTTTTTTTCGCGTAAACTTTTAACAGGATAGAATCCTGGGTACTATTTACTCCTGTAGTAACTGTAAAAGTTACTATTTAAGATGTTATAATTCAGTATAATAGCAGCATCGACTCCTATTTCATTTAATGATTTGTTGTCTGCTTAAAATAATAATAATGATGCCATCTTCTTTTTTATCTGAACGCTTAGATAATTTTTTCTTACAATTCTCAAGTATTGATCGAGATTCAAGTAACTCGACTCTTTGAGATCTAGTTGTTACAGGAAATATGATTCATGTTAAGAGGGTCCTTTGAAAAAAAACATATCGCCAACTTGTTTGGTTTGGATAAACAAAAAAATGGAAGTTTATTTTTTTGCTCCCCCCCCACTCTACGCTCTAAGGTCTACACTATACACTCTACACTCTACACTCTACACTCTACACTCTACACTCTCCACTCTCCACTCTACACTCTACACTCTACACTCTACACTCTAATACTCTACACTCTACACTCTACACTCTACACTCTACACTCTACACTCTACACTCTACAATATACGCTCTACGCTCTTCGCTCTACGCTCTACGCTCTACACTCTACACTCTACACTCTACACTCTACACTCGACACTCGACACTCGACACTCGACACTCGACACTCGACACTCGACAGTCGACATTCTCTAAGTTAAAAAATTCACTTGAAATTACATGTACAGTCCTTGTAATGACTAGGATCCAGATTACGAGGAGAAGAGGAGAAGAAACAATGAGGCAATTAGGTAAAGAATAATATCCCCCCCCCCTCCTAGTTTACGTGAAAAACCACAGTCATGAAATAAAAAAATGTCAACCGGATAATTTAACTGAGGGACATTTTTGTTCCAATGATTTCTCGATTTCTCGAGGGAAAATGTATATCTTCAGTAATTCGTTCTTATTTTTATCATCTATCATTGGATAAAAATTAATAATAAAAAGGTTTTATAAAATAAACAATCCGTGCACATTCGTAAAATGCACAAGTTTCATGAAAGTTCAACACTTTTTGCGCACATTCATTTTTTTCAGAGCAATTTGCCTGGAAAAAGCAGAATATAAAATCCTGGCATATATTTTTAATTATTTGGACGGCGAAGCCGAAATCTAAAGAACTATAAAAAACCCCGAATTTAAGTAATTGATTAATGTATGATTAGGAAATCTCGTGATAAGAAGAAAAAGCAGCAACAAGAGACTGAGGTATTTTTAGTTTTGAGAGTTAAAAAAACTGTGAACTTAATTTCAAGTGAACCCTCAATTCTATATGATATTTGCTCCAGATTCACAATGGTACCCTTTCAAACTTTATGGTTTTTACCGTCGTTCTCTTTCTTAGCTGTGTTGAATTCGGTAAGTTTCGTTTCTTTCTCGATGCTATGTAAATCCATATGTAACGTTTATTTAAGGTTTAGTAACCACAATCGTGATTCAAAATCCATTTTCAGCATTTTCGGATATAAAACAGGAATATTTTGGGAATTGAGAGAAGTATCTATGGTTCAGTTTTGATTCGGGCATCCACGTTTTAAATAGAGTATCACTTGAAATTACGTCGACTGTTGCTTAAGAACTAGAACCTATTGATAATCTATCTATTGTTATCTGTTAGAGCCAGGTGGAGGCCTTGAAGAACGAGAACAGTAGGATAGAGGTTGAGATAAAGAACATGGAAAAACAGCTGGAATTGCTTACAGGAAACCGGTTTTGTCTGATAAATATATTTTCATAATTATACATTTATACATTTTTTGCAAGATATATACCAGCAACCCTTGAAAATATGTACAGCAGTTCTCGGGATAAATGTAAACAAACACAACTAACTGGCCTGAGTCTTTAGATCTTAATTCGTCTGAAATGAAGATATAAAATTTTCTGGTATAATCATTACATAAATATTTGGACACTAAAACCTCATTTTTTTCAGGGTAATATTGGGTGGGTGTGTTTTCTTATCATTTTGTGGTTGTTATGCTTCTTACCTAGAAATCCATTTGTTTTCACAATTTGAATTGGTGTTGCGCATTTAAAAATTTTCTCATAAATTGAGTGGGGGGGTTGACTTTTCAAGGATATCCACTGAACTTATTATATTTTACGAAAAAACTATGATTTTATTAAGTATGGACTCCTCATTATTACCTTAATGCAAAAAACATGTTTGGTTCAGGCATTTTTAAAGCACACTCCGGCAGAAACTCAACTTCCAACCCTTCAAGTTCAATGCAACCAACAAATGAACAGCCAGGGGATAGTTCTCAGTTCTACGCCGACAGCGGAGCAATATTAAACACCGCTGGCGGTTTACTTGGCTCAGAAATCGGTCAGAGCAGCGGAGATCCATCGGATCATTTTCCTAGTGCAGATTTTACATACAATACATAACTTTTTATTAATTTTTTTGTAAAATTCATTTTTATATTTTGATCCTGACTTGAAAATACTCTTTGATATGAGTAATACCTTGATTTGATATTTTTCTATGATTTAATAAAATTTTCTTTTTGAATAATGTTTTTGAATTGCAGAGATAAAATGCCTAAACAATCCAAGGGTATCAGCAAAGAGGTATTTTTTAGCTGCTTATTAAACCTTATTTTAGATATTAAATCGTCGCAAAATTTTAAACGTTTGGGTTATAATTATTGTTTTTCGAATTTATTCTGCATAGACAAACAAGGAAATTTACGAATTTGATCGATTTTAGATTTAAAGATAAAGTTACTCAGATATTTTCTTAATGGGCACCGCTGATACTCGGGTATGTTACGCTTCTTCGTCCATAGTCCCTTTAATATAAGATTTTATAGGACCCAGACTATGAAGAGAAGAGAAAACGTAACAATGAAGCCATCAGGTGATTAGAAACATTTCAACATTTTCAATTTAAAGGGATCGAATGAGTAATTTCAAGTGAACCTTGATTAATAAAGGGGCATATTCGATTCACAACGGTATCCTTAATGAATGTATGTCCATGTATTTGTTTTAATAAACCGATTATTTTCATTTTTGGTTTCTCTACAATGCGGGCAATTATTGCTTCAGAAACAATAGAGAAATCTTTCAAAATTCGAATTATTGATCAGATTAAGGATTCAAGGGTACGGACACGGTTGTGAATCTGGCTTTCTCCTCTTTGCATTAAGATTCACTTGAAGTTAGGCGTACAGTCCCTTTAAGAGAATGTCCTCGCATGCTTAAGAGACACTTTGGCCTCGATGTAAAGAATGCCAACTATAACTCTCATTGATACCTTTTAAACTTTTATCCGACCATTTTTGGGTTTTTTTTTCGGTGTTTTTCGATCTAAAAACTAATAGCTTGTCTTAACCTATTGCATCGTAAGAAAACGATTCGTGGATACCCTTAAAAATGGGCCGTAACTAAAATGACCGAAATTTGTCGTATTTTGGATAAAAAATCGAATAATTCTTAGCCTTTTTTTTGTTGGCAGTTCTCACTATTTATTAATTCAAAATGTGTCGACAATCTTTTAAAATCGAATTGTTGGACGGACGAAAATTTAGGTTTAGTTTCAGCGCCTGGACTCAATATTCGCCCTTGGTTCACAGAATTTTAAATTGTTATTCAAAACTTTTCTTATTTTATAATTCAACATTTTATTATTTTAAGAAAGTCAAGAGAGAAGGCAAAGAACAAACAGAATGAAACCCAGGTTTAAAAACAAGCTTTTAATTAAACGACTTATAACTATTTTTACACTACATCGGCGATTTCTTATTGTTATTATTATTACTATTACTATTATTAACTATAACTATTACAACTATCACTATAATTATTACTATCACTATAATCATTACAATTACTATAATTATTACTATTATAACTATAATTTTTACTACTATCACTAAAATTATTACTAGTACTTTAATTATTGCAATTACTAAAATTAGTGCTTTTACTGTAATTATTAGTATTACTATTATTATTATTATTTTTATTATTATTACCATAATGATTTTTGTTTATTTACACTTGAAAAGAATTATGTTCATAATAAAACATACTTTTGAATTATCCTCGGAAGACCCGTATTGGCCACCTATCAATGATAATTTTTTTTAAATTCTTGTTCAATTCTTGTTTAATTCTTGTGGGTGGGATGCTTCCAGAGTGCAATACGTGGATTCATACAGCACAGAAAACAATTATCTTTCAGATTTTGTTATAATTTTACTAAGCACTAAACATACAAATTTTTTAGTTCAAACTTTAAAAAGTACTAATTGAGTCGATAAGAACCCAAAAGGGTTTCTATATAAATTTGCCATCAATCCCTTGATATTGCCTAGGCCCAGGTGAAGGCCTTGAAGGAGGACAACATGAGGATGGAAGGGATGATTAAAGTTGTGGAGGGAGAACTTAGTATACTTGAAGGAAATCATTTTCAAAAATTAACATGTTTCTTTACCGATTAAATTTTTTAAGTCTAATGCTTCTAAAGGAACAAAATTTGAAAGGTTGCAATATGATAAAAACCCCTGAAACTCTTCGCACACTAGCGTTTTTCTTTTTATTTTAGACTAGTATGATTATTATTTGAATTGAAAATGGCGAAATTAGGAATATTCAAAGCACATGCCAGTAAACCGACAAACTCAAGTAATGCTACAAGCAGTGTATCAGTTCCCAGCAGTGCTACCGTTCCTAGCAATGCTACCATTATCAGCAATGCTACTGTTCCAATTAGTTCCTTTATCTTAGAAACTTCAGAGCAAGGGTTCCATGAAAGTAGCTGGAACAGTAAATTAAACACAGCAGATCCGTTCCATACTGAAGGAAGTGGGTTGGAGAAGAGTGATAAAACAGAAAGTATTGGAGACATTAATGTAGGAAGTACTAGTGGAGGTTGGACGAATCCATTGGATCAAATTGATGCTTTCAGCACCATTTATCCTGTAGATTCTTCGGATAATTTCGAGGATTTCTTGCAAAGTTTGAAATAATTTTACAAATTACGTTGACAAAATAATGTTTACTCACGGTTGTGCAAGTATTTCTTCCTGATTTTGCAAAAATTTATGAAAATTTAAGATTATTAAATATTTATCTTATCTGAGTGTGTTCAGTTTAATGTTATGTAATTTTAGCAAAAAGAATTTAGTTTTTTTTACATTTAAAGAAGATTTCCATTATATCTTAACTGCTTATTTTTTTTGTAAAAGCACGACTATTTTTTTTAAGTAACATATGTAAATTTTACAACAAATTTTGAAAATTTGTATTCTGCAACCTTTGAAGTGTGCAACTCTAGGTATCTTAAACAGTATATTTACTTACATGCATTTAATTAAAGTTCAATTAAAAAATAGTAATAAAAAAGAAACAATTTCATATGAAATGAAACAGAATTTTCTCTTTAAACCCTTCAAACAACATTTGTCATTAATACTCAATTTTAGAATAATTAATCCCGCCACAGTTGGATTAAAATATGGAAACACTGTCCGGTATTCTATGTTCAAAGAATTAATAAATTGAGTGCCTTATTAACTATTGATATGACTTATCGTATATTTCTGGCAATTATCATATTTCAGAAGAAATGTGGGAAATCATTCTGTATTCGCAATAAACCCTGGAAGTTTACAATGTGTTTATACTGAACCCCGGAAGTATAAACTACGTTATCATTGAATTCTGGAAGTGTATAGTGTGTTTATACTGAACCCCGGAAGTGTAAACTACGTTATTGAATCCTGGAAGTGTACAGTGTGTTTATACTGAACCCCGGACGGAAGTATACACTGCGTTCTCATTAAATCCTGGAAGTGTAGACTGTGTTTATACTGAACCCTGGAAGTATACACTGCGTTATCATTGAACCCTGGAAGTAAGCACTGTGTTTACACTGAACCTCGGAAGTATACACTGTGTCTACGCTGAACCTCGGAAGCATATACTGTGTCTACGCTGAACCTCGGAAGTATACACTGTGTCTAGACTGAACCTCGGAAGTATATACTGCGCTCTCTTTGAATCCTGGAAGTGTACATTGTATTTACATTAAACCAGCTGGAAGTGTAGAATTTGTTAAATAATAAAAGGAAATCGCCTTTGATGTCCAAGGAAATAAATGTTGATCAATCAATCAATCAATAAATGTGTGAACATTGATCCCTGAAAGTTTACACTACGTACATATTGAATCCTGGAAGTGTATATATTGAACCCTGAGAGTTCTGTACACTGTGTACATATGCCTGCTCCCCATCCCGTGTACAGTGAACTGTACGAGAAGAATTACTCGGCCTGGATAATGGAAACTAATACTGAGGTAAAAGGGTTTGAATTCAATTTCAACTCGTCAAAACAATTCTTCATGAAGTACATTGTTAATCTATTTAACTGTTCCTTTAAGGGACTGTCATCGTAATTTAAAGCGTCTTCTTATGCCCATTCACAACGATAACTTTGATACCCTAATCTGATCAATAACGTAGTTTTTCTTTAGTCATGTTAATTTATCAATTGTTTCTGTAACAAGAAATGTCATCGTGAATATACTATGCAATTTGATCAATGGAAGGTCACTTGAAGTTAAACCAATCTTAACTAGCGAATATATTAAAAACATTTTATAAAGTTAGTGTACTAAAATAAACGGTATTTTTTTTGCTTGAGATGATCAAATCAAATTCTCTTATGAAAGATGAATTTTCAAGAAAAAAAATTATTTTTTTTCGCGTTGTGAGATAATTTTTTTAATGTGGTAAGTGTTTTTTTAGATTGTATTTTTACACTTTGATTAGGGTTAAGAATTAGACAGTCTTCTTTTAGAGTTAAATGCTGTAAATCCACCAATTTAGAGATAAAAATCCGCCAATTCAAAGCTAGGAGAATTCCGTACTTAATCCTTCTATTTAACAGGACAGTGTTGTATCAGAGCTTGAACTATTCTCTCAGTCTGTTGTTAACATCACAAAACTAGGGTTCAGGACTATAGCTCAGTATATTGATATAGACTACATGTAAGTACATTCAAAACTTTTACAAAAACAGTATTTGTGCGAAAATAAATTTTTTGATAACATAGCATTTTGTATTGTTACTTCTGAATTAATTTAATCAAAGACATTGCATTTAAAAATAACTTGAATTAATATACTTCTTCCTCTTAAATGACTGGAAGCCTAATTTACAGTGACCTTCCATGCCAAAAAAGTAATGTCTGATCTACAACGGTACCCTTGAAACCTTAATCTGATCAATAATGTGAAAGATTACGTCGTTTGTGTTTATTTCTGAGAATTTTTTTATTGTTTCTTATAAGCAATAATCAATAAAAATGTAAAAATAAAAATGCAGAAAACACGCAAATGAACAAACAGATTAAATGAACAAAAGCATGAATATCTAATTCACAATGGATCAGACAAAGCTGATAAGGGTACTGTTGTAAATTGGCCATTGCCATTTTTGCATGGAGGGTTACTTTCCCTTTCATTTCTGTAAACTTCAGGTTATGGATGCGATGGCTACTCTCTCCAGTTATAATTGCATTTGTTATTCTTCCCAGGTACCGAGGTTATAACATCACTAGGTGTCGAGGTCTTGAGGTCACAAGGTACCGTGGTCACAAGGTACTGAGGTCACAAGGTACCGAAGTCACAAGGTACCTAGGTCACAAGGTACCAAGGTCTTGAGGTAACAAGGTACCGAGGTCTTGAGGTCACAAGGTACCGAGGTCTTGAGGTCACAAGGTACCGAGGTCTTGAGGTCAAAAGGTACCGAGGTCTTGAGTTAACAAGGTACCGAGGTCTTGAGTTTAACAAGGTACCGAGGTTAAAAGGTCAAAAGGTACCGAGGTCTTCAGGTCACAAGGTACCGAGGTCTTGAGGTCACAAGGTATCGAGGTCTTGAGGTCACAAGGTACCGAGGTCTTGAGGTCACAAGGTACCGTGGTCTTGAGGTAACAAGGTACCGAGGTCTTGAGGTCACAAGTTACCGTGGTCTTGAGGTCACAAGGTACCGTGGTCTTGAGGTCACAAGGTACCGAGGTCTTGAGTTCACAAGGTACAGGGGTCTCGAGACCAAAAGATAGAGGTCATGCGGCCGCGAGGTATGTGATAACAAAGTTCCAATGTTATACAGTTCCACGTAGTTCCCAATTCATAAAGTTCCAAGTCCAAAGATATATAGTTCCCGGTTCATAATGTTCCAAGGTTATATAGTTTCGAGATCATGTCATTTTTCAACGAAGTGTGCAGGTCATGTCATTTTTCTAAGAAAGATGTGTCACGGTCATGAAGTCAATGTACTCGTCTTTATTTGGGCCATACCGCTTGGGGAAAAAATAATTTAAAGGGGGGGGGGAATAATGATTTTTCTACAAAATATGCACCCCTAAAATATTGATAAGGTTGTATTTGTTTAGCATAATCCTGGCATTTATTTACATATCTTCTATAATCCTCTACATATACAGAGCTCATAGAAACAGATTAATTAATAGAATTCAAGGATATGTGGAACAAGGTAAAATTAGCTTTTTTTAATGGCAACTAGCCATCAATGATTAATCGATTAGTGGATTGTTTGAAGCAATGATTGATTGATTGATTGATTGACTGACTGACTGATCGATAGATTGGCATATTGATTGATTCTTTATAATGATTAATTGATTTAAAGTTGGTTTGATTGATTGATTGATTGGTTTTTTAATTGATATATATTGAATATTGATAGATTGATTTATACAAATATCGATAGATTAGTTAATTGATTGATTGATTTGTTGAGTGATTGATTAAATTATTGATTGGTTGTTTAATATGTTGAATTGTTGATTGATTGATTGATTAAGGTGATTTCTGGACTGCTGGTAGAGAAATTGTCGCTACTTTGTGGGACGCCCATGCCTGGCTCTGGCATGGGTATGAGGTACAGAAATTGATCTAAAGTCGGGAACTTTTAATGAGAACAAGTTAAAATAAACTGCTTAGCTTCCTTCTTTACCGTTACTAGAACAAAATTTACGATTTTGTGGCGTCATTCCACCTTTTGAAAATTACGAATTGAAGTATACCAGCTGGAAGGAGAAGAAATTCGTTTATCATGTTCCTTACATTTAAAAGTTTACTGAGCTTCAGCTTCTTTTATTTGATTTATAACATCAACGATCCAGTACAAATAAGTACATCGCTCATCTTAAAGGGACTGTAGACGTAATTCGAAGTGAACCTTCATTTTCTCTCAATTTATTTCCTTTCCTTTGCTGCTTAAATTCACAAGTTAATATGATGGAGGGTTTTAATATGGGCCCCATCAGAGATAAGAGAGTTACAGAGATCGATTATCAGCTAAAATATGCGATATTTTCCACAGCCTGTTCTATTGTGTACAAGTACTGTACACGACCAATCAGCAAACATCTGTATTCAGGGATATTTAAGGATCCTTTGGATACGAAACACAAAAACTTAAAAAAAAAAGACTGAATTCATAAAAGTTTAAAATTGGAGTATTTCTTTAACAGTTGTTAAGCTTATGTTCAACAAGTGGCCGTGAGATGGTATTCTAAAAACCTATCGTAAAAATGTAGCATGTCGTGCCGGGTCAACTTAGGCCTACGTAGCCCACCCTGTGAAAGGAGATAAGCAGTCTGTGTAGTCTATAGGCTCCATTTAGAATTTACATTTGATTAAAACTGATAGAAAACTGCAACTTAAAATTATCAATTTTCAGATTGAAAAAATAGAGCTAACTTGGATATCTTTTCTCAGAAAATATCTTTATCAGACCCTAATTATTATATGATAAGAGGAAGAAATGAACTTATTCATTTTTAACATTTTCTTAAAGTAATTAGATAAAATTATCATTAACTGCCATTGCTTAACTTGTGTTACATCAGTTGCTATTATATTAAATACCAACTTGTAATTATAAACATTAGGTTTTAACAGTATTATTTTCAGTTGAAAGGACTAGAAAACCTTCCTACAGACCAGGGTAAGAGAACTCAAGTTATATTAACATCTATCATTATAAAAAAATAATAATCATTGATCTTATTTATTTCTTCATGTCTTGTTGTATGCTTCATTCTCTATGCTCATTGCTCAATGATCATTATACTTTAAGACGACTAATCAAAATACAATTCATTGCAACTCTCTTGGTCTAGAAATTATTGTATGAATTGCATGAAATATTCAAAAAAAAAACTCATCTGTATAAGTTTTATATTTATGTTTATTTGTTGCCGAAAAAGCTAAATCATTATATAAAATTCGTTTTTAAAAATTGCGTTAAGCGTCCTGAATTTAAATTAACTGTTAATTCATGTGTTCAGGATGTATGCTTCTGTATTATCATGGCGCTATACCTCTGGACTATTATTATCTTGTTAACAGGTTAGTCTGTTAATTACAATACAAGTGAGAACTTTAGCATTGTGAGTTAATTATGCAGACCTGCGAGTTTATTTATTTCTTCTTTTTTTATCCCGTGGTGGTGATATCCTGCAGGGATAACTTGAATGATGTGGTCAATCAATTAATAAACTTGAACTAACTTTTCTATTATCAATAAATTAATAAATTACCTAGAAACCAAATGATTATGCTTGATATCAATCAGAAAATCACGTGTTTTCTATCAACCAATCAAGTAAACATCGATTGTTTCAATGAATATCTTAAATCTAAATAAGCCTGAATCATTGTCCGGATTCGCCGAACGAAACCATTTCAATAATTAAACAAATAATCAAAATTAAAATAAAAAAGAAATTAATCGAAAATAAAATCAAAATGGCCGACACAATCAATCAAAAATGAATCAAAATGTACAGGATTTTACTACTGAAGGGTATACTAGTAAACTCTGTTGTGGATAAATTCCTGATGAAACTCCCTGGAGTCAAGATAATCATTGATGTTTTTGGATGCACTGCAGGTATACTTTTTTATCTATCTATCTATCTATCTATCTGTCTATCAGTTAAAACTCCATGGAGTCAGATTATTATCAGTGTTTTTGATGTGCAGGTATACTTTCATATCTATCTATCTATTTGATGATACTCTATGGAGTCTAAGAGTATTGTTGGTGTTTTTTGGATACCCTGCAGCTTCTCAACCTCTAAGGACGCAACCAGCTATCTCAAAAGGAGAGCTGCGCTTTTAAAATTGAAATTTACAGCGCAAAAATAACAGAAAATAGTAAAAAATGTTAAAAACATTATTGTCTGCATTGCAAAATTTCAAATTTTAACGCAATAAAATATTCTTCGACGCGCCTCTCTATTTATTGCCATGTAACTCTTTCCTTACTATTTCTTTGTACCTTGCTTAACAACTGTTTTTATTGCATGGCCTACAGCCGGCCAAACGGCTGGACCGATAGAGCCAAAAAAAATTTTGGACACTCCGAAATTTCCAATTTTTTTTTCCACGTGCAACGCCGGGCCCTTCAGCAAGTGATTTATAAAATGGTATTAAACAACTTCCCTTCTCCATTTTATTGTTGTTTTAGGAACTGTTGAATCTCTAGCTGATATGATGGTTGAGGGGAAAATACTGGTAATTCATCCATGCAGGGTTGGTTACCCAGAAAAGATGAGACATGATGATGATGAGGACTGAACGAAATTTTTCCAGTTTTCTCATTGTTTTTGACATAAGTTGTTCACTTCAAAAAAAAATTGAAAGACGTTTATTTACTAACAGATTTTCATGTCGTCATTTAACTCTTAACTTTTCTGGGTAGACCTGTTTTCTAATTGTTTTTAAGGGAGCCAGAACAGCTCAAAATTAAAAGACTTGATTGCGGATTTTTTCATGTCATAAGCAAAATTTTCTTCAAAAATGGATATTAGATAAGTTTATAACTTTAAATAACGTTATTCCTCTTTTTTTAATCAATTTGATGCAAGAGTTTATTGATAGTTTCACGTATGATGAAATGAAAATCTATAAATAGATATTTATAAATAATTTAACTGTAGAAAAATTCCTGGTTTAAAATTTTGAAATCTTAAAACATTTAAATTTAATTTTTATTTATCAAACAAAATGAAGAATAAAGACTGTGGGAAACTACATTTTACAGAAAAATGTAGTTTTAAACTATTGAAAATTTCAGATATTTTTTATGCTACAAATCAATGCTTATTTTATTTAGGGAATATCTCCTGGTGGAGTTTATGAAGCTCAGTTTGGAGATCATTATTATAATGGTAGGAACTTAGCTAACCTCATTCTCATCGTTAAGTTAATCTTACTCTTCTTTACGAGTTAATTTTTTGCTACTCGTCTTGGTAAATCAGATTCTACCAGCTTTTGTTAATCTCATTCCTCTTTAATTAATTATCCTGACCCTCCTGGAGTATGTTAATCTTCTCTTAGACTTAGTTAATCTTTTTTTCCAGAGACTTAGTTAATCTGTTTCTCCAAGACTTGTTAAATCTTTTTCTTCTATACTTAGTTAATCTATCTTAGTTAATCTGTTTCTCCCAGACTTAGTTAATCTTTTTTTCCTAGACTTAGTTAATCTTTTTTTCCTAGACTTAGTTAATCTATCTTAGTTAATCTGTTTCTCCCAGACTTAGTTAATCTTTTTTTCCTAGACTTCGTTAATCTATCTTAGTTAACCTGTTTCTCCCAGACTTAGTTAATCTTTTTTTTCTAGACTTAGTTAATCTATCTTAGTTTATCTGTTTCTCCCAGACTTAGTTGATCTTTTTTCCTAGACTTAGATAATCTATCTTAGTTAATCTGTTTCTCATAGGCTTAGTTATCCGATTCTGCTAGATATATTTAACTGTTTTCTACTAGGCTTAGTTAATCTTTTTCTACTAGGCTTAGTTAATCTTTTTCTACTAGGCTTAGTTAATCTTTTTCTACTAGGCTTAGTTAATCTTTTTCTACTAGGCTAAGTTAATCTTTTTCTACTAGGCTCAGTTAATCTTTTTCTACTAGGCTTAGTTAAGTTCTTATTCTTTACATCGTTCATCTTGTAGATATATTTCACTCAACTAAGAAAATCTTATTCTGTTCGACTTATTCAACAATGTTAAGAACACTGAATAATGCATATTGTATATTGTACTGTACTACATAGAATACGTTGTACATCTTACTGTACATGTTTAGTGATTTGGCGTGAAAGACTGGGGTTTGCTAAAGCTGCAATACGGGCCAAGGCACCAGTAGTTCCTGTATTTACTGTTAACATCAGGTAAATCAATCAATCAATCATCACTAATTTAACTAACTTAATCCACTCTAGTCATTCACTCTTTCACTCAGTTAGTAATTTAGTCAAAAATTTATCTTTTTTAACTAAGTTCTAATTTTAAGGGAAGCTTTCAGAACTTTCCCTTTTTTCCACAACTTCTGGCATTGGATCTTTATGAAAACCAGACTTCCATTCAGGTAATCTTTCATATAATAATAAGGGAAATATCTTGGAAATTCAAACGACTACTTATTGTTGCTAATTTAAGCATCAAGAAATCAATTTAATTGAAATCTACAAGTTCATATTTTTTTTATTTCAACAGATGAATACATATTGTATGTTTAGACCCATAATTGATTGGTGTTGTTTAAAGTTGTTGACCACCTATATTGGACCTCCCATATATTTATTATTGTATTTATTGTTTAGACCTCTGTAAAGTTGACCGCCTATATTGGACCTCCTTTATATGTATATATATTGTATATATTGTTTAGACCTCTATTTGGTGGGTTTCCTGAAAAGTTGACAACCTATTTAGGGCCTTCTATATATATATGTATATATTTTATATATTGTTTAGACCTCTGTTTGGTGGGTTTCCTGAAAAGTTGACAACCTATTTAGGACCTTCTATATATATATTTATATATTTTGTCCTTTAATAATAATAAATATATATTGTATATATTGTGTAGACCTTTGTTTGGTGGGTTCCCTGTAAAGTTGACAACCTATATAGGACCTCCTATTTATATATATATTGTATATATTGTCTAGACCTCTGTTTGGTGGGTTCCCAGTAAAGTTGACACCTATATTGGACCTCCTATTTATATATATATTGTATATATTGTCTAGACCTCTGTTTGGTGGGTTCCCTATAAAGTTGACAACCTATATAGGACCTCGTATATATATATATTGTGTATATTGTCTAGACCTCTGTTTGGTGGGTTCCCAGTAAAGTTGACACCTATATTGGACCTCCTATTTATATATATATTGTATATATTGTTTAGACCTCTGTTTGGTGGGTTCCCAGTAAAGTTGACAACCTATATAGGACCTCCTATATATATTAACGATGAGACAACTCCTGAACAACTAAGAGATCAGTGTAAGGTAGGTTTTAATTTCGTAAAGGAATTGATGTCGGAATTTCAATTGACCGGTCATTAGAAGAGTTGCATGTCCGATTAAAGACGGAACCTCATACAGATTCCCGCGTTCTTTATTTTTAAATACAAAGCGTTGGAGAAAGAGTTGAAATATCTAATTTGCTAGATTTTAATACTTTTCCCAATAATTAATATTTCCCTCTAGTTTTTTTCAAGGGCCTTTGTTTTCAAGAACCGCTTTTACCTTGCAAACTCATGTTTTAAAAAAAATTGTTCGGTTTTGCTCTCCAATCTGGGAATATCATATAAGGATGATTAAATGATTTTTATTTTTAAGGAAATACATAACTAAATAATGGAATATCCCTTACCCCCCCACCCCCCAAACAAAATACTTTTTTATGGGGTTCGAGCATTCTTTTTCAGTTTTTATCTGTCCTAGAATAAGTTTTCTTTGGGTCACCCTGTATATTTTCAGACTGCTCTTGAGACTATGATCGCTGAACATCAAAGAATTCCTGGACGTATTCTACCAGCAATACTTGATAGATTCTGGTGGAGAAATAGAGATCATTCGGACTAAACATAGATCAAATTTTCCACAGATCAATCAGAGATCAATAATTTGTACTTCTTTTAAAATAGAGATCAGAGATCAGTACTTCCGGAGATCATTCAGATTAAAGCTAAGCTATCAAATGTTTCTTGGGTGTATTCAATTCTTAGTAAACATAAGAAATCGTTATTTTTACTGCTTTTATCAATAATCAGAGATTAATTAAAATCAAAAATAAACATTTAAAAAAAAATTAGATTAAATATTTAAGACAAATTATCATCATGATCATTTCGATGAAATGTCAGAGATCTATACTTATATGATTTAAAGCCTTATTTCTGTAGACGAGAACATCTTAAACGTATTTATTCTGGCATTTTTTAATTAATATAAAGTAGTAATCTCTGTTTGTCATATCTCGTAAACCCAATTGGTCAATGACTGTCAGACTGATTCGCTTCAAATTATGTTGGGAGAACTTGATAGATCTTGATAGAACTTGATAGAACTTGATAGAACTTGATAGAACTTGATAGAACTTGATAGAACAACAGAAATGTTTTTCTAAATTCTGAATTGAGAGTTGAAAAAGTTTAGATTTCCAGGCAAAGCTGGGTTCCCAAGAAAATAAAGAATATATATATATATATATAGAATGGGCATTGAGAATTACTATTCTAGAAACAGACCTGACCATAACTAATCTTGGTAATACTGAGGATCATAATTCAGCATTTATTTATTTATTAGAGTTCAAACAATGTCCTATGATGAATTTGTTATTGAACATTTAATCGGTTTTTGAATTGACCTCAAAGTTCCTAACAAATTAATAAGTTTGCAAATAACCAAGAAATTGCAATTTTCATCTTTTGACTGAATTTGATGTCCTCCTTACCCTTCCCCTCAAATCTTAAGAAATCTATGATTATTATGTTGTTAGCTTAATAATAAGAATATTTATCAATAAAACTTAAATAAACAAGAAAGATAAGATAATGATTATATTTACACTTGACAGTTAGTTTGCTACATTTTAGAAATGTACTTCAGTGATATTGTTTAATATTATTAAAAATAAAATAGATTTTTCAGTTTTTATTTAAGTAAAATGAATATTAGATTTCAGTAAGCATGCAGCATATGTTAAATGTACATTAAAATTTAAAGATAATTGGATCAATTTAAACTCTTTCACTCATTGCGTAGAGATCGAGAGATCTTTCATTTGTCAAATCTCAAAGTTTTAATGAAAAAGAGATCAGTAGATCACTTGAACTCAATTCGGACAAAGAAAAAATTAAATAGTTTTAAATTATCCTCGTTAACAGAAATTCAAATTGTTTACTTTACTTATAGAATTGATATTTTATATGCTTTACTTATAGAATTGATATTTTATATGCTTTACTTATAGAATTGATATTTTATATGCTTTACTTATAGAATTGATATTTTATATGTTAGAAGTTTCTATTTACAATTTCCATGTATGTCCGTCAACATGGACTATATGTTAATTTTGTGATATTTACATTACCCATTATTACCTGGCATTTACAAAATATGTTATATTATTTTCCAATTAAATGTGATTTATACGTTAAACTTGAACCATAGAATAGTTATAAGTCAGTATTAGTGTTAACTTGCATAATAAAAAATAAAAACTCATTTAGCGAATTCCTGAAATTTCAGATAGAATGTCAAAAAGAAATCTTCTTCTACTGTCCAACTCTACCCTACATCCTACTGGGTAAAGTATTTAGATTAAAGGAATTTTACAAGAAAATTCTCGAGATTTTCTTTAGCCTAGATTACTTACTTACTTACTTACTTACTTACCCCCGAATTAAGTACCACGAACTCGCTGGGAGCTTTAGAATGGTGGATATCGAGATTAATTCTTTAATCCTCTCTTCTTCTTAATCTCGAGACTTACTCAATCTTGTATTTGTATCCTGAGCTGGGAACTTTAGAATGGATAAACTTTAATCCTGACTTCTTGATCCGAATATCCACTGTGGAAACTTTTCATTTTTGTCCTAATCCACTCTTTTCCCTCTCCTTGGATATCCGTAAATTGTTTTCTTCAATGAGAATATTTCTGTTCTGGTTCAGGCTTTTCTCTGATTGGCTGCTACAGTTTCTCAGATGATTACAGTTTTTCATACACTTTTAAGTAATCTTGCAAGATTATGTTAATCTTGAGATTATCAAAATGAGAGGATCAAGCATTAATCCTGATATCCACCATTCTAAAGTTTTCAGCTCTGATAAGTGTATAAAATTCAACCAATCAGAGTCGCGTATAAGAAGCCGAAAAATTTGAAATTTTGCGCGCCATTTAAGATCAATATAATTAATATACAGAAACGTGAAGAACTCTCAATTTTAAAAACCCAGTTTTGATTTTTCTCTACTATATCTAAATAAGATTGTATTAAGCAAGAAATCAAAAGTGTCCACATTGGATATTCGGATTAAGCAGTCAGGGATAATGGTATCCCATTCTAAAGTCCCAGCTCTGTTTAAACAAACTTTATTCTCTCAGAAACTGAAAGGAAATGTTCAAGCTCTAAGAAATGTGAAGTGATATATTATCTATAAAGTATATATAAGATATATTTCACTATACAAAAAAAACTTTTTAATGAAAAAGAAAACGAAAATGATCAATGGTTAAACAATAAGAATGAATTTAATGTAGACAATTCATTAATATGAGTCTTTTGATTTTTATTGGAAAAGTTGTTTTGATGCTTTAGGTTATAGAGATTAAAAATCACACTATTACACAACGTCATAAACAAGAATTTTACGAAAAAAAACCTGTTTTTATACAGGGTGTTCCACGAAACATGACAGTTGGTAAATAGTTTTGAATATCTTCTTCCATATTCTGTCTTAAGATATTAAAGAGATTTTGCAGTTTATATTTCGTTAAAAAAATGTTGCTCAAATATATTTTACTTTTAAAACAACTTTGCTATAATATTTTTTATTTTTCTCTTTGTTTTCAAGCAATTTAATACGTTATGGTAGAAGCCATTTAAACTATTCACCAACTGTCATGTTTCCTGGGAAACCCTGTAATTGCCATGTTTATAGATATCTGGAGTATGCCCAAGATATAATCTGTGATTTCCTAAAGTCTGGTTCAGTCAGTGAAGTTCTTTTTGTACCTTATGCACTGAGAGATCAGGTTAAGGGTTAAATATAGTAAAAATTAGTCAATGTCTTATATATAAATACAATGAAGACGACTTTCGATTTTGATTTCTACCAAGCTTTCAAACAGCATGGAAACTGAAAAACATTGAAGCAAAGAGAAGCCGCCAATTAAAAGCTTTTCTTGTTTACTTGTAAACTTGTAATTTTAAAGGGAGTGACCGGCATTGTATGGTGGTTGAACTGAGATTGCGGTATTGTAGAGAATTTTTTCGGATTCATTTGAGACTTATAAAACGTTTTAAAGATCTATGATCACTGAGTTTGAGGTCAAAGTCAGCGTTCAAAATTATTCATTTGGGTGGATACTTTTTGAGAATCTCTTTTTTAAATTAATAAACAACGACGACAAAAAATGTAACAAAAAATCTACAATGAACTAATAAGTAGTTTAGGAAAAGGAAATAAAAATTAACTCTTGTCATCGAAAAGTAAGTAATTTTATTCAATTATTAGTTTCTGTGATCTCTCATTATTCACGAAGATTTGCTTAAGATTTTCTGGGATTTTATCGAAAAGACGACATTTGAAGAATTTAAAGAATCTGTGAACAAATTCATAGAAAATAGAAATTTAATGTAATGATGAAAACAAAATAATTGATTCTAACATTGATTTATTGATAAATTCCCTTTGAGAAATATGTTCCTAACATTCAATTAGTTTACTATATTTTTTGTCGTCGTTATTTAATAATTTAAAAAGAAAAACAATTCTCAAAACGTATCCACCCAAAAAGACTATTTTGAACTACTATGTGCTCAAACTCAGTAATTATAATTCTTTAAAACGGTTTATATGTCTCAAATGAATCCTTAAGAATTTTTCCACAATACTGCATACTCAGTTCATCTACCATACATAGCCGGACACTCCGTTTTAAAAAAGGTTGTTAGAAATCAACACCTAAATAGAAAAGTTATTTTCGTTGTATTGATGTAAATGTATCCTTGTATAAACCAGTCAAACTAGCATAAACTAGAAATAAAAGAAACCAGTGGCCGAATTTAAAGAATTTAAGCGGCGGTTTAAATTGAAGCCGGCGCTTAGTTTAAACCGGGTTTTGGCGGATTTAAACCGCGGCTCAAATTCTTTAAATTCCATCTTAGAATAACTAATAGCTAAATCCGAATAACTACTATAAACCAGATTAAAAGTCGTCTTTATTTAGTAATATAACCACATGGTTAAAAACGTTACAAATATCAAATCTTCAGCTTTATTTATAATTTTTAAATTTCAAACAAAGACAACTTTAATTACGCTTTCAATGTCTACAAATTTTTATTAGATGTGAGCTGGAAATTAATAATTATAATGGAAAGCGTTAATTTAAATCCCATATCAACAGATATCAAATTTACTGAGTTGAACACACACAGGGTTACCTACAAAGGATGATACTTTAATGACTACATTAAGCTATATTTACTATATCTCTATCTAAAGGTTATGTTCGGGTTGAAGTCTTAGATGTTGTTTTTTAATAGCATAATAGATAATTTGGCATCAAATTAACAAGTTTATGGCTGCAGAGAACCTTAAATGTATAAAAGAATGCTAAATAAATGCTGTACAGTCGTCTCTGAAGTCTAATCCTGTAAGTAAACCTGTATCTCCCATTTAAAGTTTGGACGTTACTGTCTTTTGCCTTCATTCAACACAATTTGATATTTTTACAGAGAAGCACAAGAAAAGGGGAGGTTGTTTGACTTGTTTTTAATATATAATTTCTATCATTTAGGACAGCTATGCAGGCACAGTGAGAAGTACGTTTGCTAAATGGGGATTTCAGGTAATGTGTACAATGTACAATGTACGTACACTGTACAACCTTACATATTGAAATTAAAATATTCAGGTTAATAGTGTGCATGAAGCTGAAGACCCAAAGCTTGCAGTGACCAAAGCGCAGGTCTTTGTTTTTATAATTTTTTCATAATTTTTGATATTTTTCAATTTATTTTAAGAATTCTTGATTTTTTAAAACGATAATGTAATTTTAAGTATCCATACATTTAATGGAGGCGTGCTCGATTCAAAATGGTACCCTTGAAACCCTAAACTGATCAATAATGTGGAAGATAACGAAGTTTTTCTGCATAGCTTAAAAAGTGTTTAATTATGATCATTTCTTCGTTATTTTGAACCAAGAAATGCGCAAGTAACTTTTGTAAGTAAAACCAGAATCTAAAATAATCAGTTTTCAATTAAAAAATCATAGATATTTAATTCATATTTTTAAGTGAACTTATGTTAATCGGACACGAAGAGCCACCGAAATTCCTTTTAAACATTTTTCATGACTTTATTTTATTTATTTTATTGATCTTTTATTTTGTTTTATATATAGGCAATTTTTATTGGTGGTGGAAATACCTTCCAGTTACTGAAGGGATTATATGATAACAATCTTATTGAACTTATTAAAAGGTATTATATATCTTAACTCTTTACCGTATTTTTTGCTATAAAGTGATTTAAAAATGCTTGTTGGAAAATTGCCTAACAATGAACCCCTCTTTAGATAAATTTTGATAATTTTGATGATATTTATTTTTATTTTTTTAAAATTTTTTTATTTTTTTTTTTCTTATTTTCTTATGTTTTTTATTTTTTTATTCTGATTTCGATTTTTATTTCGATTTTGATTTTGTTTTTATTTTGAATTTGATTTTGATTTTTAGGCGAGTATTGAATGAAGGAGTGCTGTATATGGGATCTAGTGCTGGTACTAATGTATCAACTGTTAGTATTAATACTACCAATGATATGCCAATAGGTGAGATCAAAGGTTGTATTTAATTAAACTAGACATGGTTAGTTGAACTTCTTTTCTACTTGATAGTTCAGCTAATTTTACCAGGTTCAACTACCTTTGGTTATTTGTTAATTTCAAAGTCATAATTTTCAAAAAAAAATCCTCACAATGAAGGTTTTCACTTAAAATTTTTTTAAAGATTTAAGTCGGCGCTCAATTGAAACCGGTTTTTGGGGGATTTGAGACGCGGCTTAAATTATTTAAATTAGGACTATAGTCATAACTTGGAAAATAAAAACTGAACAAAGTTCTTACAGTCCTCTCTTAAGTATCATCCTTTGTCTGTAACTCTGTGCATCTCAAATTCATCTTTGATTCTTCTTTCTTTTGGGACCACCGTACAATGTACATTGTACATTGTACATTGTACAGTGTACAGTGTACACTGTAAGCTCTACACTGTACACTGTACAGCCTTGTAATAACTATTAAAAGTAATCATTGTATTGTAGTGTTTCCTCCATCGTTTGCTGCCTTGGGATTAGTTCCCTTCAATATAAATCCTCATTATATTGATACAGATCCAAATAGTACGCATAAGGTGAAAAACCCCTTCTCTCTTCTTTTCTCAATATATTTCTCGAAAAAACATCATCAGAAAAAAAACATTTTAATATTTTATTTATTTCTTACATAAACCCAGCTTTGTCCGGAAACTAAACCTATTCAATAATATCAAACTTACTCAACTTATTATTTTTTAACAAAGCTAAGAACTGTTTTGTGCTTCATGGGTTATGATCAGACATTCAATTAAAACAAACAGAGATTACTAATTTATATATTTAGATACTGGACATATTCAATTTCAGTAATACACAATTTCCACAGATTTGTCCGCAAATACTAAATATGTCGGATAGAAATTTCTTTTAGAATTAAGTATAGAATTATAGAATTTGTTAGCGTTAGGATGACACAAAATAAATATTGTTTAGGGTGAGACCAGAGAGGAGCGTATCATGCAGTACCAAGAGATTCCTGGTACACCACCCGTCCTAGCTCTTAGGTAATTATAAATAACTAGCTCAAGTGCCCGACGTTGCCCGTGGAAGTGAACAACAAATTTGAATTTTTAAGGAAATAATCTAAATTTTGAAGAAAAATTTATAATTTTGCAAAAAAAAATCAAATTTAAAAATAATTTTTTTTTTCAAAAATAAATTTTTTTTTGCCTATTTTCTTATGGGTTACCTCAAAAAAATATTAGCCATTTTGGTTCAGCTGTTTGGCTAGCTTAAGCTAACATATTACAAATTTATATATATTATTATAACTAAAATATTTTTACTAATTTTTTTCTCTTTAATTATTAGTGCAATTTAACGTTTATTCGAATTAACATTTCCAACCAAAAAATTTGTTCAAACGACTAATGTTTTTTTGTAGATATTAGTGTAATTGAACATTAGTGCAAAGTAAATTTCCAACAAAAAATTTGATCAAAGGGACTCATGTTTTTTTCTTTTAATAATTATAATTTATAGGCAAAATGGTGAAATATTAAATTTTAGTTAGATTGAACATTTTTTGTTCATTTGCACTAAAATATGTTTATTTGAACTTTTTAGGGTAAATGTGCTTAATAGTAAAAATTTTAAATTTTAGATCGATTGAACATTATTTTTTCATTTGTTCTAAAATAAGTTCAATAAGTTTATGGGCAAAATGGTGAAATTATAAATTTTAGTTCGATTGAACATTTGTTCATTTGTCCAAATTTATAGGTTTAATGTGAAAAATAGTGAAATTTTAGATTTTAATTCGATTAGTTGCGCCCCTTAACAACGTTAAATCATAAACGTATTGTTACACACCTGCTCAACGTAAACTTATAAAAGATTTAAAATGTAACAAAACAAAAAATGTAAAAATGAATAATCCGAAACGAATGTCGTCTTCTCATGAAGACAAAAATTGCGCTGCACGTTAAAAAATTTTAAAATAATTAGTTTTAAAATTTAAATAATTTAGTAATATATGTAATTTTATGTTTAAGACCGAAATAGCCAGTTTTTTATTTTCATTTTATTTTCATTTTATTTTTATTTTTATTTTTATTTTTAGACTGTTTGTTAGGGGCAAATCTCCGGAAGAATTTCCACCTCAACAAGATTTCAGCTTTCTTCTCTAGATTTTCTTGATTTTCCTAGATAGTATAGATACTCTAGATATTCTGGATTTTTATAAATAGTCTACATATTCTAGATATTCTAGTTTTTTAGAGATAGTCTACATATTCTAGATATTCTTGATATTGTTTACAATATGGGCTACATTTCTTAATCGCCTGTAAATATTTCATTGTTTATAAGTAAAACGGCTATTAGAATTCTTTTTAATGTACCTAGAGATACGCATAGGTACTTGATTGAAAGTATTTCACAATGTTAACATGTAAAAGCTATGTTAGCTAGTAGATGTGTGTCTTTCTATGAGACTATTGAAGCAAGTTTTAAGCTTGCATTAGATTAACACAGCTCTTGGCAGAAATTTATTTTCTATTCCAAATGAATGTTCTGTAAATCTTTCTGATCTTAGTAAATGTTAGATAAGAAACAAATGAAATATTTTGATGTCCCATTGGACCATGCATGGAAAGTTCCGGTTTTAAACGAAGTTTTAAATACAAGAACTAATAATTTATATGTTAAAGGATTCGATGAATACGTCATAACTGAAATGTTAAATATGTAATGTATTTCAACCTACAGGTCGTTGTACTTTGTCTGTAGGTTGATTGTTAATAATAATAATAATAATGAGTATGATCAATGTAGCCTATTTGTGCATAATTTTGCATATTTTTTTTTCCTTTTGTAAAGCTACATATTCTGTAAAGCTACATATTCAAATATTTATCCAAACAATTTAAACTACACCATTTATATATGTATTTATATCTAATTGCGTTTTATAATTATAATATTCAAATATTCAGACATTTTTACGTGGTCTTCTAACTTTTTTCCAATAAAATATTTTTTGTTATTGAATACCTTTCAATAAATTATAGACTTACTTTTGAACTTCATGTTTGTTCGTTATGTGAAGTATTTTATCAGTTAATGGGGCATTTACGATTCACAATGGTACTTCTTAAACATTTGACTGATCAATGATGTCAGACTGTCCAGTGTCCTCTATACCCTCAACATTTTTAAATCTATCTTTGTTGTTCGTGAGAAACTTCTAGTATATCCAGCAGTTCATGAACCACTATATCCTCAACATTTTTAAATCTATCTTGTTGTTCATGAGAAACTTCTAGTATATCCAGCAGTTCATGAGCCACTATACGCTCAACATTTTTAAATCATATCCTCAAAATTTAAAAATGGATCTGTGTTGTTCAGGAGCAACTCCCAGTGTATGCAGCAGTTCATGAACCACAATCCATCGTATTTAAGCTAATAAAGATTCTTTATTTGTAACAAATAGTTTGTTTGTCTATGTGTTTGTTCGTATCCATTAAACGCCTAAAAGGCTGAACTGGTGGGGCCGCTTTTTGTGCTGAAAATTTATCGCTGGTGTTCATTGTATAAACAAATGCCGTGATCAAGAGTTTGTTTTTTCTATATGTTTGTCTTTCTGAATTTGGGCTTTTTTCTCATGAGTTGGTCTTTAAATGATTTCTCTTTGAAAAGTTTGTTTTTATGAGTTTTTTTTAAGAGTTTGTCTTCCAGAAGGTTGTCTTTCTAGAGCTTGTCTTTCGTATAGAGTTTGTCTTTCATAGAGTTTGTCTTTCAAGAGTTTGTCTTTCATAGAGTTTGTCTTTCAAGAGTTTGTCTTTCATACGGTTTGTCTTTCAAGAAGCTTGTCTTTCATGAATTTGTCTTTCATAGAGTTTGTCTTTCTAGAGTGTTTAAATTAGTTGTCCTTCAAGATATTTTTTTTATGAGTTTTTTTTCAAAACTTTGTCTAAAGAGTTTGTTTTCAAAGCTCTCCTTAAAGTTTTTTCTTTCAGAATTTTGTCTTTCGGGATTTCTAAAATATTTAAATTCTAACATTTTTTTGGAAAAATACCAGAAGTATTTTAAATAGCTGTTTCTTTTATCTCTGAATTTATCATAAACAAGTATTTCATCTTTTTAAAATTCGGTGAAGGTGATGGACCAAACCAGTGCAGGGTAAAAATTAAAGGAGATTAGAGTATTAGACGTTAATTCCACATTTATTGAAAATATATTTTGGCCTGGGTTGACCAGCTCGTCAGTTCTTGAGATTGTTTCTGTCACAAAGATTAAAAACAAACAAACAATTTCATCTTTAACATCAAGTTCTCCTACTTGTCCTTGTATTAACTAAATAATAAAAAAAATATTAAAAAATATAAAAAAGGTCGATTTCTTTAACAGAGTTATAGGGTGTAATTTAAGCTGCCCTCTTTGCAAAGACGGTAATGAGGGTTTCCGGGATTTCCAGCGAATGAAGCATTTCACAAAAAAACTGCGAAATATTCGTTCGTATTTAGAAAACTTTTTCGCGAAATTACGCATTTTTTCTCGAATTCAGGGTAAAATGCATGTGCTCATTTTTACCTATAGGAGACCAGGTAATAACTACAAACATAAGAGCGAGCATGAACTCTTTCTCTTCGGCTCACCTCTATTTGCACTGATTAAATCTTATGTATATATTTCAGGTAGGCAGTTTATACAGGACTCAACCGTGAACTGAAAACACAATAAATCAGTCCAGGGTTAATTATATGCATGACAATAATAAAATTTTAGCCTTTAAAATAAAACTTTCTCCAGGTTAACTATTCAATTATTTATATAATGAGAAAATAAACTTACAATGTTGATTTGTCCAGAGGTTTGTAGCCTATAGTTCATTAAATTGCACTGCAGTCGAGAACAGGATAACTAAAAATGAGCTTATTTAGTCCGATCAAAGTTTTCATGTGTCACTTCAAATATCCTTTTTTAAGTGGTGACTTTCTCACATTCATCACAAGCATCGTGATTTTTAGATTTATTACCTGTATTTGATCTAGAGGAGGAGCTAGACCAGGGATACAGAATCAGAGCCCTTCCGTGGAGGTATCGGAGGGGAGCAAAA